AGATCTTGAAAGTAGTTAGTGGGCCTCCCAAGGGCCTGTCAAAAATTAAGCACCAGCTGAGGCAGTATGCATGGTGGAAGAGGTGAAATTGATGTGTTCATTATCACTGGAGGTTTACAACTAGGGCTTGGAGATTTGTCCAGTTCCCAGCTGGTGCCAACTACTAGAGACCTGAGGTAAAGAATACAAATCACTAAGGGAGGAAAAGCATACAAAGGATCTTACTGGGACCCAGAAGAGTCGAGTGTTAGTGTGAATGAAGTGTGGCATATTTCAGGCCACTCAGTGTGAAAAGGAAGTTTTTTATGAAGGGCTTGTATAGGTATGATAATAACATACTATAGGAGAAATAAATTAGACAGTGAAAGACAAGTTGATGAAGCATATCAACAGACAATTTTACTTAAATTAGGGAAATGGAATTATTAAAGTACCATAGATGCCCTTTTAATATTGTGACATGTTTTTAGATAATGACCAATGCCTAATTACCACATCTTGCTCATACAACAATCAGATTTCTGGCTGCTGACTAGACCCTTCTTAATGACAGCTTCTGCTCATACAATGCCTAGATAATATTCATAAAAACATATTTTGTCACCTTACAGGTGTCACAGATGAGACTAAATCAGCTGTTTCCTACATTAGGGTATGGTGGCCATCAAAAATCTTCAACCCAACAATAAAATAAATGTGATATTTCTTTTGATATTGTCTCATTTTTGGTGTTATGCACTCAGAAAATAGGATATAACACCATTATTCCTCTATTTAACCCTTTCAGGGTTTTGGCCGTACTAGCATCCCTAAATTCTAGCGCCCTCAAATCTAGTGAGAGAAAGCTGGTAGGCCTACATATGAAAGAATGGGTCTATGTGGTCAGTGTGCGCAGTATAAAAAAAATCCTGCAGCACACAGTGCGTAATGAGAAAAAAAAAAAACTTTGACCGTGTTTTTGGATTAAAACAGCGACTTTGCACTGCATTTTCATATGGTATTTATGGTTGTATTCTAGTTTTCCTGGTCTCATTTTATAGAATGGAAGACATATTACAGAAATTGAGATGATTTTGACTGGTTTTACAATGAAAAGTACTTTGAAATTGAGCTCAAAGTAGAAGAAATGTTAGATTTTTACCAAAGTTCAAAAGTAAACAAGTCATGCTAAGCGTCCAATACACGTCAACTGGTGAGTCTTATATTCTTTCGCAAGTGCGCTGATATTATTTATACCATTTCTACACTAATGCAGTCTGCATAACAGCAAATCTTCTATTTTTTTGTAAGAATAAAAATTCAAAGTGGAAAGCCAAAGAAATATAAGAGGGGCCTGGGGATGTGACTAACAAACAGAGAACTTGTTATTTTAGTGCCAGGAATGTCTTTCTTGTTTATTCTGGACCCTGTTCGGAAATTGGCATCTTTTGAAGTTTGTGTGTAATTGGCAAAATTGCTAAATTCTGACCACTTTATTGGATAGTTGAAATTGGTAAATGGGTGGTTTCTTGTACTCATTCGATAGAAAAATTGGAGTTCTAGTGAAATAGTTATGATTTTTGTCGACTAGTACCTGGAATTGGCCGAAAATAGAGCTCGAAGTGGGCAAAATCGCCGATGCGTAAACATTGTCGAGACCGCTAACTTCGCGAGAGCATAATTCCGTAAGTTTTTCATCAATTTTCGTACTTTTGGTGTCATTATGATCAGGAAAAGATTCTCTTATCTTTTCATAAGAATTTTTTTTTTTTTTTTTTTTAAATTTGGGCGACCCTGAGAACAAGTCTCGGAGAGGGCCTTGCGACCCTGAAAGTGTTAACAGTGGTGAATACATGTTTTATAAATTTTATAAATGAAAAAATTAATAGGAATTACACAAGAAATATTATTGTCCTGGTTCCCATCTCAAGTTATAATGGATTTTATGGGAAATGAGATTAATTTAGTGTATCTTTTCAGTTAACCCATTAACTGTTCAAATGTAGATCTGCATTTGCTCGCCCAGTGCTCCGAATATTTTGAAAAAAAAAAAAAAAATTAAAAATAATTTTTTTTTTAGTGAGAGAGGGCAATTTTCTGTGTGTAATAATTTTTTTTTTTATTATCACACTGGCCGATTCCCACCAAGGCAGGGTGGCCCGAAAAAGAAAAACTTTCACCATCATTCACTCCATCACTGTCTTGCCAGAAGGGTGCTTTACACTACAGTTTTTAAACTGCAACATTAACACCCCTCCTTCAGAGTGCAGGCACTGTACTTCCCATCTCCAGGACTCAAGTCCGGCCTGCCAGTTTCCCTGAACCCCTTCATAAATGTTACTTTGCTCACACTCCAACAGCACGTCAAGTATTAAAAACCATTTGTCTCCATTCACTCCTATCAAACATGTTCACGCATGCCTGCTGGAAGACCAAGCCCCTCGCACACAAAACCTCCTTTACCCCCTCCCTCCGCCGACCCCTACCCCGCCTTCCTTCCACTACAGACTGATACACTCTTGAAGTCACTCTGTTTCGCTCCATTCTCTCTACATGTCCGAACCACCTCAACAACCCTTCCTCAGCCCTCTGGACAACAGTTTTGGTAATCCCGCACCTCCTCCTAACTTCCAAACTACGAATTCTCTGCATTATATTCACACCACACATTGCCCTCAGACATGACATCTCCACTGCCTCCAGCCTTCTCCTCGCTGCAACATTCATCACCCATGCTTCACACCCATATAAGAGCGTTGGTAAAACTATACTCTCATACATTCCCCTCTTTGCCTCCAAGGACAAAGTTCTTTGTCTCCACAGACTCCTAAGTGCACCACTCACCCTTTTCCCCTCATCAATTCTATGATTCACCTCATCTTTCATAGACCCATCCGCTGACACGTCCACTCCCAAATATCTGAATACATTCACCTCCTCCATACTCTCTCCCTCCAATCTGATATCCAGTCTTTCATCACCTAATCTTTTTGTTACCCTCATAACCTTACTCTTTCCTGTATTCACTTTTAATTTTCTTCTTTTGCACACCCTACCAAATTCATCCACCAATCTCTGCAGCTTCTCTTCAGAATCTCCCAAGAGCACAGTGTCATCAGCAAAGAGCAACTGTGACAACTCCCACTTATGTGTGATTCTTTATCTTTTAACTCCACACCTCTTGCCAAATAAGTCCAAAAAAAAAAAAAATTAGGACCAGTAGTTACCAAGATATAAAACTGCAAAGTTGGCACTGGATGCTCACCTTACGGCAACATGGAGTCCTGCTGCTTGCAGAATGTTGCCGATATACTTCTTTTTCTCATTTTTCTATTTTATATAACTTTTATGTTCTGATAATTACAATTTATAGTAGTTCTTGTGATTTCATAGCCAATCTTTGTTCTGACACTAATATTAGGTATTGAAATTGTACTCAAATTGTCACAAACACACTGACAGGTCAACATGTACTCCTACCTTGGTCATTTACTATTGTCTAGGAACATATACAAAATATTTATAGGTCCCAGATGGAGTATATATGGAACTCCTTGAAGCATGGTGTTAAGACGAGTGTTACCAAACTGCTGACAGAATAAGCAGTGGAGTGACACTTGATGATCGTGCACTGCTGCAGGGAGCCCTGGCTTTATTTGTTTTCACTGTTAAACAAACATGTCTGTCTAGTTATATCTGTCTTTCTGTCTGCCTGTGTGTGTGTGTGTGTCTGTCTTTCTGTCTGCTTGTCTCAGAGAGTTGCTCATGAGCCAACTGGTATTATACATGATCACATCTGATTCCTGAACAAGTGAAAATGTGTATTACTTGCCAGTTGCCAGTCATGTTTATTATACAAGCACAGTATAGCACTTTGTCTAGATTTTTTTGGGTTATCCTAGGTAATTTACACTATGTATAATTGTATTTACATATGTGTACCTGTGAGATAGACACACACATACAGACAGAGAAAGAGAAAGACAGAGATAGATACAGACAGATGGAGATAGAGACAGCCAGCTGACCAGCCAGCCGCCAGCCAGTCAGCCTGCCAAACACGTATTACACATTCCAGAATCGTTTCTTTTTACTACTTAGGGCATAGGTTATAGGACATTCTGGCAGGATGACACTACCAGTGGTACCAAAATTGAAAGGGTGTTGCGCAAATGTTGCACATGGGTTATTATCAAGTTTTTTTTATATTTCCGCGACCACTTGTGGCCACATCCACCTCAAAATCACTAAACTCGGGGTCAACATCACTTTCCTCTTAAAAGGGGAGTGTAATATGACATGACATCAGTGAATTCTTAGTGTTTGCTATGCTGTTTGCTCTAGCTGGCTCTCAATTGAACTGGTGCTCCCACAAGGTACTAAGTGGTCCCAGATTTTTTAATACTGCTTGCACTAAGTGTTAAGAACCATTCTATGCTGACCAGGCATCTCAGACCAATTGTGCCAAATTTGGAGGCAGGAAAAATAAAACGTAGATTACGTTTGGAGCACTAGTGGTAAGAACGTAGATGTACGTTTGGACAGTTAAGGGGTTAACAGACAATTCCTCCTTTCTCTGTTTAGCTCGTTAAACAGAGGTCTGATGTACGGGTAATTCTTCCCATTACTTGTTGTCTGCTTATCTATTATGGAGCTCCTTTTTGGAGATCACTATATACATGCAGCATACTGATCATTGCATTTATGACATTCTTTTATAAGGCGTCCTTGACTCAACTTTTTCTACTACATCACTGTACCAGGTTGAAATTTCTAAACTGATGAGTGCGAGATTTTTCTTCTGGTGTGAAATTGCAGTCATAATTTTTTTAATTTTATGTTAAACATATACAGGATTTTACTTTTTATGCTCTTTGATAATACAGTATTTAATGATGTATGAAAGTTTTAGGGGAGTCTGTTTTAATTACTATACTCCATGAAAGTACTGCACTTTCAATTTGTTTTTGTCTATGAACATTTTATTTTGCAACTCTCATCTTATTCCTCTTTGATTTTTTATTTTACCATTACACTTTATAGATGAGAAAATGCCCGAACCTCCACCTCCCCCTGCACCTCATCCTCATCGTGGTGGCTCAACAGGGAATTCCTCAGTTGTAGAAAATGGAAGCTCATCGTCAACTCCAAATCCAATGCCGTCTGTATCCCCAAGCCATGTTCTTGGCCACCTGCACTCACCTCAGTATACTCCAGGTAGGTGCTTTGGCAAACCACTTCTTGGGTAATATGTTTTGTCTGTGATTCATTGTATGGTACATTCACTTAACCTAAGTAAGACTTTTAACCCTTTGACTGTTTTGGTCGTATATATGTCTTACGCGCCACTGTTTCAGACGTATTAATACATGTATATTCTAGCGGCTTCAAATCAAGGAGGAGAAAGCTGGTAGGCCCACATGTGAGAGAATGGGTCTTTGTGGTCAGTGTGCACCACAAAAAAAATCCTGAGGCACACAGTGCATAATGAGAAAAAACTGACCATTTTGTTGGATTAAAACGCCGACTTTGAGGTGTATTTTCTTGTAGTATTTATCGTTGTATTCTCGTTTTCATGGTCTCACATGATAAAATTGAAAACATATTACCGAAATAGAGATGATTTTTATTAGTTTCATGATGAAAATGACATAAGAACATAAGAAAGGAGGAACACTGCAGGAGGCCTGTTGGCCCATACTAGGCAGGTCCTTTACAATTCATCCCACTAACAAAACATTTGCCCAACCCAATTTTCAATGCCACCCAAGAAATAAGCTCTGATGTGAAAGTCCCACTCAAATCCAACCCATCCCACTCATGTATTTATCCAACCTAAATTTGAAACTACCCAAAGTCCCAGCCTCAATAACCCAACTAGGTAGACTGTTCCACTCATCAACTACCCTATTTCCAAACCAATACTTTCCTATGTCCTTTCTAAATCTAAACTTATCTAATTTAAATCCATTACTGCGGGTTCTCTCTTGGAGAGACATCCTCAAGACCTTATTAATATCCCCTTTATCAATACCTATCTTCACTTATACACTTCGATCAGGTCTCCCTTATTCTTCGTCTAACAAGTGAATGTAACTTAAGAGTCTTCAATCTTTCTTCATAAGGAAGATTCCTAATCCTATGTATTAATTTAGTCATCCTATGCTGAATGTTTTCTAACGAATTTATGTCCTTCTGTAATATGGAGACCAGGAATGAGCTGCATAATCTAGGTGAGGCCTTACTAATGATGTATAAAGCTGCAGTATGACCTCTGGACTTCTGTTGCTTACACTTCTTGATATAAAACCCCGGTAATTTATTTGCCTTATTACGTACGTTGGGCATTGCTGTTTTGGGTTTTTTAAGGTTGCTGTTCACCAAAACCCCAAAAAGCCCTTTTCGCAATCTTTTATGGCTAAGTTTACATCATTTAATTTATAAGTATTTGGGTTATGGGCACCCCCCAAGCTTCAAAACCCTTGCATTTATTAAATTGAACTGGATCTCCCATTTTTCTGACCAAAAATTTGGGTTGTTTAAATCCTCCTAAAGTTCCATAACATTTTGTTTGAGTCAATTACCCTCCCATCTTTGTGTAAATCGGCGAATTTGTTCTTTCACTATTTATTCCTATCAAGATCATTTTTTATATATTAAAAAAACAACGGGGGCCCCAAGATTTGCCCTTTGGGGAAATCCCCATTGTTACAGATCCTAATCGGATTTAACCCCATTTTTGGACCATCCCTTCCTGTCAGTAAAGCCATGACTCGATCCACAAGAGCATTTTTTTCCCCCAAATTTCCCATGAGCTCCCCTTTTTCCCTTTAACAGTCTATGGTGCGGAAATCTATAAAACCCTTATTTAAAATCTAAGAAAAATAATTCAAATTTTTATCTGGGTTCCACCCGCCTAAAAAAGCTTTACTGAAGAAAGTTAAATTAAAAAATTAGTTAGAAAAGGGGCCCGGCCCTTGTAAATTTCTTGCTGATTTATATCAATAAAAGCTAGGGCTTATCGAGATGGCTTTTTAAAAATTAAAGCAAAAATTGACTAGAAATTTTGGGCCTAAAATTGGGGGGTCAGGCTTTTTGGGGGCGGTAATTTGCCGGTAACGACTTGCCCCCTTGTTTTAAAAATGGGGAATTCCCTTTTAGCCATTTCCCATTTTAAAACTCCCACCTGTTTGAAGAGAAAAATTTAAAAAATTTTAAAGTTAATGGTTACAGAGTTCCATTTTGCATTTTAAGCCCCTTGAAAAAAATATCATGCCCCGGGCCCTTTTTTTGCTTCAGGGGGTTATCTGCTTCAAAAACCTTTTCATTAGTAAATTTTTGGTGGTGTTACATAATTTATTTTTTTCCCTTATCCCACTAAAAAAATTAAATTTAATGGAATTTTGTTATTTTGATTTTCCCCTTTTGTAAAAACTGAGAGAAAAATATTTTTTAAAAATTTCGAGACATTTCATTCTTTTGTCAGTAAGGTCCCCCTTACTTATTTTTTTTAAGGGGGAAACCTATTTAAAATCTCTAACTTTTGTTTATAGACCGGGAAAAAAATTTTTTTGGGTTAGTTTTGAACCCCCTAGCAATTTAAAAATTTCTTAGCCCCTTTTTTAGTTTTCTTACCCTTTTTTTTAAAATGCCCCCTTTAATGTCAATTTTACTGATTAATAAATAAACCCTCACCTTTTTTGATACCCCTAAAAAATTCCTTTCTTTGCCCTAGTAGATTTTTGGGAGCCTTTTATTACCCATTTTGGGTAATTTTTTTTGATCAAATTTTCTTTATAGGGGAAAAACGTTCTTTAAAGGCAGCATTTTATAGTTTTTTAGAAAATGTATATTGATAGCTCACTTCGTTACCCCAATCAACAGATGAAAAGTGTTCTCTAACCATCGTAATCTGCAAAGCAAAAAATCGGGGGATGTTACTGATTTAATCGCTACTATGGGACTTCCTTCAATGTAAATGAAATTGATTTTGGTCTCTAGCCCCCATTTCCCTCGGGAAATTTCTAAATTATTAACAAGGGGATTATTTTTTCCCAAAAAACAAAGGGTAAAAGCGGGTTTTTTTTCCCCCTTGTAGGTTTTTGTAAAAAAATGCTTCAAAAAAAAATTCCTGAACTACTTCTAAGAAGTGAAATGATTCAAAATTTCCCCCAGTCAAAAAATTTTCCAATCAATAGGACAAAATTTAAAGTCTCCTAGAATTACTATTTTATCGTGCCTTGGGGGCCTTAAAAATTTTCCCCCTTTATAGTTTTCCCCCTTTGGGCCCCCAAATCTAATTTTGGGAGAGGTATATCACTCCTAAAATCATTTTTTCATGCCCCTCTAAAAAATTCTACCCAAAACCCGATTTTCTGTATGGGTTTACTTCGGGATTTTAATTCCCCCGTTTTTTGAAACAGTTCAAGCGTTTCTCGGACATCCCCCTTTCCACCCCCCCCCCCCTTCCGTACTTCTATCTACTAGGAACAATTTAAAACCTTTAAAATGACATTCGCAGGCATTCCCGACTTTTTTAATTTTAAAAAGTCTAAATTAAGGCAAGTTCTTCAATGTTACCTGCACTAGCAAATTTAAACTCAAAATCGTCCATCTTTTTCTGCACTACGGGGAATTAGCATAATAAACTTTTAAAAAAACTCTCCTTTTTTTCTTTCCCTTTTTCCCGCCCCATTTCTTTTTTCACTAAAAATATTACTGTCCTTAAAACACCAAAGTCCGGCTTTTCATTCTACCCCGTTTGCCTTTTTTACTAGTTCCCTAGAAATCGTAAAAATTACTAACTGGACTTCACGTTTTCCTGCCAAAAAAAAATTTCCATAACTATTCCCCGTTTAAAGTCCTAACGGGTCCCTCCACTGCCCGTTTTCCCAGTGCTACCACCCCCGACCTAGATAAGTGAAAACCCCCTCCCCGGATACCTGTTTATTTTGCCCCTAGAAGAGGGCCCAGTTGTTAATGAATTTTCCGCATTTTCCTTACAGTATTTGTCCAGCAGGCCAAATTTACAAAAATTGCCCTGGGGAAAAACCATTCATTTCCCAAAATCCTCTCCCTTTTGGGAAAATCCACATTGACAGAGTTCCCACCCTTACTCCTAATTTTTTTTTATTGCTGGGCCTTTACCTGCAATCGGGCTTCACTCCTACGTCTTCCAAAAATCGTTTTTCCCCCAGCACTGAGCAGATAAAGGATTGCTTCCCCTTAAACCCCTCATGTCATCCAGATGGCTTCAATATCCTCCATCCCCGCCCCCGGGGAAAACAAAAATCTGTCTCCACTCCTGTCCTTTAAGCAGAAACCCTTCCCTATACCCAACTTGGGGGTTCCCCCAAAAAACCCAAAAAAATATTCTTACCTTCCTTTGGGGTCGTTCGGGTGATGTTCCCCGTAGTCGACTCCATTCGTCGGGTAGCACTGAAAAATGTATTGATGTTTCCACAAAAAGGGTTTTCCCTGGCGGGCTCTTTCTTCTTCATTGTTTTCCCCTTTCCCTTCGTCTTAGGGTCGTCAAAATTGTTCCCTGCTGTCCCGCCCCGGGCTAGTTTCCCCTTTTTGACCTGAGGGGACCAAAACAGGAGGATAAATACGGAAACTTTTTGTTTTCCTCGGGCAGTCGCCGAATTCAACTTTTGCCCTCCTCAATTTTTTCCCTTTAAACTGTTGGTAAAATTGCTCGATGGAGGGGATCTTGCTTCAATTGTAGAGAGCGCGAAACAGGGTTTTTTTTTTTACCCGAGCTAAGTTTTCACTTCAACAAAGGCAAAAACCAACTCAATCAGGGGCTAGCCAGCCGTCCGCACGGCCCCAAAAGCGATGCGAAAAACTGAAAGGGGATGCTAACACTTGACCTTGTTAAATTTAGCTCAAAGTAGCGGGAAAAGTTCATTTTTTCCAATGTTCAGGGGTAAGCAAATCCCCACCCACGTCCAATTTCACGTCAAATGGGGGGCTCTTTTTATTTTTTTCACAGGCACTGATATTATTTATCCATTTTTTCCAATAATGCATTAGCTGCATAACAGAAATTTTTTATTTTTTGATAAAAAATCAAAATGAAAGCAATTTAAAAAAATAAGAAATTTTCCTAGGATGTGGGCTTAAAGACAGAGGATATGTTATTTTAGTGCCAAAAAATGTCTACATTGTTTATTTTGGGCCCTAAATTTTTAAATTGGCATCTTTTTTTTAAAATT